TAGTATCTGTCTCAACTGTAGCTATTTCTTCCTTATTCATTAGTCATGCTTTCAAACACTTTGACATCGTTGTTATTTTTGATCCCACCAAAACCAATGATGAACCTCCTATTTATCTATTTAAAAGAGTCTATTGGAAAGTGCATCACATTCTTAGCCTCAATGCATCTTGTGACAGTGGGTCAGACTATATATGGTTGGATGAAATGCAAGAGAGTTAGTTCGATGAAATGCAAGAGAGTTAAAGCTGTACACTGTAAATGTATAAACAGAACAACCAGCACTGCACTCTGCCATTCATTATTGCATCCAATCTCAATTCTTCTTTTACAGAATTTTCAGTAACTTTCCTTCCTGTATAAATATATCGTCTCGATTTACTCTTCATTTATATTTATGAAAAAGAACAAACATTAGAATACCAGAAATGTAATGCAAACATAGCAGCATTTGTTTCCATACAGGTATTAGGAAAAGTTGCCTATATAGTCTATTTGTTCTGCTTTACTTTCCTGTCTCTAATACACTGTTATGAAATATGATGAGAAACTGTAAAAGTTGCTTTCCCTTTTGCAATATTAAATGTGATATAGTGTTCAAGGAAAATTCATTCTTTAAGAGCAAAACGGTGACCCATGGCTGAGAATAAGTTTTGCTGGCTGGCACAGCCCTTGTGGGGTTTTTAATCTGCATTGTGAAGTATGTGAGTAATATCAAAAAAGCCCAAAACCTTCCAGTAATGTATTAAACGTACTTATTACAAAAACCAAGAAAACAGAGAGATTGAATCTCAAGAACAATGCAAGTCTCTCTTGCGAGAAAGACTTTTTAATGAATATTAAATACAGCATCACATGAAACAGGTAAATTCAGCTTTGCTGACTGAATTTCTAACAAAAAATTGGCACAAATCAAGACCTTTTTTACCAGTTGTGATGAGAGAGCTGAAATATTGCAAAAGACAGTAATTTAAGTTTTATAAAAAGTAGTCTTTTCCTACATTAACTCCTAGAAATACATGTTATGAATGTTACTTGAGGTATTTTATAACAATCACAGTAGGCATAATGGATGGGGGCAAAACTCCATGCATCCAGGGTAAAGTTTCAACCCTGGCGAACAGCAGAAAACTAAGTGAGATAGCACAAAAAGGACAGACATACACACAGCGCTAATTCATACACTGTCTCCAGTGATTTTTTTGCATCAAGAATTTCTTGAACTGACATTGGTGTCTCTGTAAATCTAATCTCTGAGTTTGTCAAAGCAATGCTTGAACTGGCATAAACTTTTTTCATCCACAGCATCCTGTAGCAAGGAGCTGCACAGCTTACCTATTTGCAACATAAAGAAATACCTCCTTTTGTTCACCTTGAACCTACTTCGATGAACTTGGATATTGGAGAGTGAATTTTTACTCACTACTCTACTTTTATTTTTTATTATTTTAGCTATTATTACTTCTCTTACATACTACAGCTTAGATAGAAAAATCAGCAACTCATACCTAGGATTATGAAGGATAATGAACTCATACCCAGGATTATTATTAAATTCATACCTGGGATAATCTACTCAGGTGTGGACTGAAAGTTCATCCCAGAAGGAAACTATTCTATTATACTTCTATTATTCTATTACATTATATATTCTATTGCTATTCTGATGAAAACCATTTTCTTCTACAAAGCAAAAGTTCTACAAATGGGGAAAAAAAACCCCTCTGCAAATTCTTACATTTGAATTAAAACAAAATTTCCAATGAAATCTGAAGCAAAGCACACATTGAAAATTTAAAGCGCCATACTGAGAATAATTGCTTTACTTAATGATCATGATTCTGATTACGCCACCAACAAAAATACAGCATTCTGTTCACAAGAAAATACCACGAACTTGCATGTTTGATTTACAGATACAGGGACTATAAACCTCTGTGCAATCAAAGGGTTTTGTCCTGACTGTTTACAAGAAATTCTTCAAATACACATAGGGAAGAGAAAGAAGAAATACTGAGCATGGAAAATCTCAGGTTCTTCTGTAAGAATCTCTGGATGTCCTGGATTGCATGGCAAAAAACTTGCATATTTAACTAGGAACTGAGCGAAACCATAAAAGGATTATTTTATATTTGGACGAGGAATTATACATATTTCAAGTGAAATAATCTGAGCTTTCTGAATCTGCAAAAAACTCTACTAAAAATGTCACAAGAGCACATAATTACTTTCTCTCTTCTCACATGTTTCTTACCAGACTCTTCTGTTTCACTTACTGGCCCAAATTCATAGGAACCACCTATGTCTGTCAAATTATTCTGGTGCCTCTGTAAAGCCTGAAGGCTGTTCTTTGCTTGTCCTGGCATAGTCAATAACCACACAGATTACATGGGGTTTTTAAATATAGAAGATGTCTAGGGATAGACAGCTGCAATTCAGCGGCTGGAGCCCATCCTACTAAATGTGATGGCTCTGCACTGCTTCCCACCATTCCTCATATGAAGCGTTCCAATTGTGGTAGAGAATCAGCAGCCTAACCTGACCAGATGTGGCAAAACAGCCAACAGAAATTTGACTAACTGTAAATTAGATTAGTTGGCTCTTTGTTCTATATTTCTGACCGAACTGTGAATTTCCTTCTGTCTAACATACCTTTCGCTTGTCTCCACTCCATGAGAACTTCCTTCTGCCATGCTGATCCCTCTTTCCTTTGATCTCAGCCTTGCTTTGTCTTCTGAGCATACTGTGTATGAGCTCAACTGAGGCTTTGCGATAAGGCAAAAACCAGTGTAAAACCATTTACACGGTCCAAGGGGAAATGGCAAGCATAGCACTGGATTAACTGACTGGTCCTTGCTTCCCTTCTATCAAGGTTGAAGGTTTGTAAGGCAGCAAAAGGCCCTCACCTAATTTTTCCTGAGGAACCCAAAGTTGGTATGTCAGTCACTTTAAAATGCTGTCATACCAGTGGAGAGGCTTTGGCACCTCAGGACTAAGACTAGTTAAAATGAACTCTAAGTAGAGGTATTCATCTTTCTCCACTCAATAGAGAAGGAGCCTGAATGGGTTTGATCCTAACTTAAATGCCTAATTGGATAAATAGAGAAATCTGGGTCTAGTCCTATACCTTCTGCTGACTGCAGCTGTGTTGATGCAGAACAGAAAGATGGCTTTCATTGGCTCCTCCTAATAGAGAGTGGCCCACAACAGGCACTTTCCTAAACATGCCCTGCCTGTGGTACAGACAAGCAGTCTGTGATTACCCCATAGCTACATTAAGGGCTGTTATAAACCATTAAAAGGAACTCTTTCAGAATTGTTCAATCAGTAACATTAATGTCTCGAGAAAAGAGACAGTAGTCCCAGCAATGCCAGAGGTGGTGTGCACATGTCTAAACCCCTAAGGAAGGGCTAAGCACCCATGGATGTACAGCTTGCAATACATGAAAGCAGAAACTAGAAGAGGGATTAGGTGCAGGATGCATCCTTGAGAAAGCCCACCAAATTCTTTCCAATTTTTAGACAAAACTTTTATAACAAGAGCATGGAAGATTTGAGGGAGAAAAAAAAAGACTTCTTAAAAAGGAATTGACAGAAAGGTTCTGTTCAGACTCCTAGAACATGGAAAACTATTAAATGGGAAGACAGCCTTTAAGCCACTAAGTTTGAGCTTGGGAAAAATATATCTTCTCTCTTCATAAATGTGTTTACTATTGCTATTAGAAAGTATCAATGACTTTAAAAAAACTTGGACATGCAAAGATTTAAAAAACCCTCAAGACCCAGATGATACAATGATTCAATTTCATAATCTTGATAAAAGCTAAAACTTCGACACACTTGGGTTTCGGGGTAAGAGAAACCTAACTGCTTCCAATTTAAAAGGAAAGGTGTGATAATTTTGCAGACACCAATTCTATCTATATATTCTAAAAGCTGCAGACTCCAATATGCACTCATATATTTAGAAAAACATTGTGCACACATATGACCTTGTGTATATAAACACACACACCAGCTGCATTTTCATCCCCACTTACTTTCAGCAAATGTCTCAAAAGAGACAACACTGCATACATTTTCTTCAGGTACACACTCATGCAGAAAAGCAATAGAGGCCTAGCAAATTATATTAAAATCTCGCATTGCACATGGAAGATCAATCCCATCAAGTACTTCAAGGAAACTAAACACAAAGTCCCCCAACAAAAGTCCAAAACAAAATCACCTGATAAAATTGTCAAACCATAGTAGCTTCTTACTACAGTACTGAGATACATATCTGCAACCTTCAACTTTCTCTCCGACAGATTCCAAACTTCTGCCATCTACCAACTACTGACATGCTGCTACAAATTTATTTTTTTTAATAATGGGAAAAGTATTTTTCACCCCTCATTTCCAAAAAAAACAGTCGGAGCAGTTTGGCATAAATGTTCAAAAAAATATCACAGCTAGTAAAGGACTGCCAAATTCCAGCAGGAAAGGTAAAACGACTGGTAAAAAGGACAAGCCACTGAAAATCTTTTCTTAAAATGGAAACACTTGTGCAATTTTAACTCCCCATTACAAGCATTGTTATGTCCTCTGAAAGTGAAAAACACAAAAGCCCTCTTTCAAGTGGACAGTGGTCTGAAGGCTTCTTGATTTCAGTTTTACTTAGGAAAAATCAAAGGAGTTTATCTTAATGAAGACAGAGCTTAAAGGCATCAGGTCCTAATTTAGCGTAAAGACTTGCCATACCCTGCAATTTTTAACACAAGCACTTTACAAATAAATACAAATAACTAATATTTAGCACAAACTTTAAAACTTTTACCGATCATGTTATTTCTTAGTCAATTTTCTATTAGAATCTGTACAAGATGTGCCACAGGCTCAGGATTAAGAAATAATTAAAAAAATATCAACAACTACACACGCACACAAAAAAATCCAATTCAATCCCCTTTCAACTTACAAAAACGTGCCTCATAGGGACCATAAAATCCATGTAATTACCTGCTGCAGGATCTGTAACCGCTTGACTGGTGATGCCAGATGGTGGTTCTTGAAGCTGGTATGTTGCATTTGTAGAGGGTGTTGTAGGGCTGGTGTTGCTGTTTGTCATGTAATGTGAAGGATATGGTGAGCTATTATAATACTGTGCATATTGGCCCTGGCCAAAACTGGGATAAGAGGGATATTCCTGCAAGACAAAAAAGCAACTGAATAGTCCATCAAAGTTTTGCTACTTTATAGTATAAATTCCAAAATATAACTACAAACACATGTCAGATTTCAGCACGTATGCTTCCAGGACTGGATGCTGTAGGACCTAAAACTGCAAGGCAGTAAAATGAAATCTAAATTACACATAATTTAGTAGGTCTTCTCATACAAGCAGTTTATTAGACACACTGCCGAAGATGTGTGAATAAGAACATTAGGCTCAGACAATTAGTTCTAGCATTGTAAGATGACAAATTAAAAAAAAATTTATAAACTTTAGTTTTAACTTGAAAGGATGTTAATTTCTTTCCATAAGCTATTTAAGGGCTACATTTTTTCAGTGGATGAGAATTCTAAGTTTGCCAAAGTTTGCTAAACTCCTATTTACAAATTTACCTGCTGTGAACTATTAAATCCAGTAGAATTTGTGAGTGAATTATTTCCTGTATATATTCCTGATGATGTTGTAAAACTGCTGCCTGAAATGAAATGCAAAATTACATGAATTACAAAAACCAAGTATTGGAAAATAACTTCCATCACACAATTATATCATAAGGTTATGGCATATTTGTGATATTTCCCATATGTTGACCAATTTGGCTCTATAACATGCTAATATATGGAAAGTGATAATTCATAGTTCTTACACTCTGTGTTTCATTATTGCAACAACAATATAACAAAAAAACCCTTGAAATTTAGACAGGAATTTTGGAGCCACCTCAGCCTAACTGAATATTAGGCTATCCCACCCCTCTAAATAATACCCAGCATTGTGGAAGTAATGAGGGTTGCTTTACTTTTTTTCTTGAACAATAATGGCAAGCCTTGTCCCAAGAGACACCATCTCCCCTCACGAAAGCCTAGTGGCTCTGTTTCTCCTCCCACCTTTGCAAACTGTGCCCTCTCCCCCTCCCTGAGCCTCAGCCCCTCGCAGGAACAGCAAAAGCCATAACTCCCTGTTCCAAACGGCTCAGGCCGACCGCGAAGCCATTAGGATTCACTAATCAATCATAGACAGCCTTGGGCTGCAAACCATTCTCTTTTTTGATAGAGTCTACCAGGCATGACGCAAGAGAAAAAATGTACCTCTCTGAGAAGGGAGACCCAAGATTGAATTTAGCCTAGAGACTGAATTACTGCCTTCACCTCCCTCCTCCTGCTTTCAGGAGCCACCAAAAATAGACAGATGGGGCTCTTGTTTAATACTCAACCTGAGAAGCTGTTCCACACTAAAAGGGCAGCAACCCCCTTTCAGCTGTTTTGCCTTCGCTGGTTATAAGCTGGGAGTGACACAGCCACCAGCTGAGACATATGGATGCACAGGGTGAAGCTACATAAGCCACCACAAAGTCTGTAATGAGGCAATCTATTGAACTCATCCAGCAGGAGAGCAGGAGCCAGCACAGGTTATTAAAGTGTGCAGGTTGTTTACAGCTTCCCTTACCTCTGAAACCTGACTTAGCGCAAAGACCTGGCCAGCTAAAGCTTGCAGGTGAGCAAAGGAGACAAGGGCAGATGAAAATCAACAGGGAGCCACGTACACAGATGCACCAATCCTCTGATATACCCAACACAACTCAATTAACAACCGATGCCAGAGGTTACTCATTGGGAATAGCAACATTTCTTGCAACTCCAAAGAGCACAAAATGCAGGCAAAGGTTACATACTTAGTTGAAACCCTGAAGGACACTAGTGAGCTATTTATTTTTTTAAACAAAAAAACACCCCAAACCCAATAGGTATTGTAGCTGTGAAAATTCAGGAGAAATATTTAAATGCTTTGATTGCAAAAGTTACTAAAAGCACATACAAGTTAAATCTCAAAGAAGGAGATGTGAAGTCCAACAGCAGTGGGAGTAAAACATGAAGCTTAAAATTAATGTGTGATAATGACTGCAAACATTTCTCTTGAATCTTCTATTTGTGCAAAAGCCCTGTGGTTGTTGATAGATGCTACTAATCCTGTGAACTAAAATCAGATTACTTCAGCAGAAGAGTTGACATCCAAGTTTAGCAGATAGTACAGATAAACAGTACTAATGAGAAAAACATGTTGTTTTAAATTTAATTTAAAATTGGAAAACAGATGGGTATTTTATTATAACAAGCCCCAGAGCCAAAACACAGCTGAAAAATATTTTAAATTGCAAAACTTTGAAATGATATTTTATTTCTAATAGTGCTTTGGCTGGAAGAATGTAAGTCACTGTGTCTCTTTTTATTTCTGTAGTTATTTTTGAGTGATGCGGTAATACATTCAAACACAGGTTTTAGAGGTGCATGGTTTGAACCACTCCAAAAAAGATATAAAAGGCCTCTCATAAGAAGAAAAAGAAATCCCAAAGACTTTTTTTTTGAGGAATACATTATCTTTCCACATAAAGTTCAGCAAATAATTTGCAAGAGCAAATGAGAAAAGTAATTGCATGCCAGCCAGCATCACTCTCTCTCAGACAGACACACACATACTAACATGCAGATCTCTCTTTCATCTCATGGTCAGCACTGGCTCCTATGGAGGAGGGGTAGGGGTCTCCTAGACCGTAACAAACATGAAGCAGGTTTCTCAGAAGCAGCTCCACAGGCCACCCAGAACTACGAGCCTAAAGTGGTTTTTAAAATACTCCAATTTTGCCATTTGCTTTTAAATATTCTGTCATAACATGGCGTAGATCTGCTGTCCTGCCTTAGCTGAACAAACACAAAACCAAGAATCCCTACAAAACACACAAGATTTACTGCCTTAAGTTGGGCAGCTACATGGCTTTAAAATGTGATAAAAGCTGTAAATTTCAGGTCAAAGGTCTATTTTGCAAAGAGCTCTGACCCACATTAAAGCTGGGAATCCCAGTCAGCGTCGGAAGGCAGCCAGACCCTGCTGGGACTAGGGCGCGGGGCTTGCCCTTGCGCTGCCGCCATGAGGTGTGCGACACAGTCCTCTCCTGAGTATTTGCCACAGGAGTCCATTTGCTTTCTTAGCTCAGTCTCCTTGCCACGGGCTATATCTATCATCAGGGTACAATGTATGTGGCAGAAGTTTAGTGCAGCTCTCCTGGGAAAGCCTAAGACGGCCAGATGGGCTATTTAAACTCAAGGTTTCTTCCATTTGCTTACAGTGTTTAAAAATCCTTGGCAAAACCCCCCTTGTTGTCCTAGTAACTGCTTAGCCATCCAGCACAATATTTTTATACTGTATAATAATAACCGAATACCTTAACGTTTACTCTTTTATGGTTGAATCCCCAAACCAATTGGATAGTTATTCTCAGTCATTGCAGTCTTGGTAGCTAAAATAATGCTGATGCTCACCACAGGTCTAGCACCCTTCCAGTGGTAGGATACGCAGGTGCAGGGTATAAGTCACACTTTTATTACAATCAAGGGATAGTCAGTTGCAAATGGAGCTCTTTTCTCGCCATTTCCCCAAGCCCTTCTCCACTCCATTTATCCTTGCTAAGCAATCCTTATAACTCTGCCAATATAGGAACAACGGCCCATTCCCACAGCCATTAGTCATGTAAGTGGTCTTTCAACATCTATGAAGCAACTTATATGAAAAACAGCTTAAGGAACACACTCGTTAAAGTAAGGGTGGGGAGGAGTGGGCAAACAGAGTGGCAGAACCACCTAGGTTCTCTTCTCACCCTCTCCCCTATGCAGCCCCCATTAAAAGAATGATAAATTTGTAACAAACAAAAATCCAATTACTAGAACAACCTTAGCAAGGAGTTACAGGCAGCAATTCTCCTCATAATTTTCAAAAGTTGGCAGTCTCTCCCTCTGCTATTGTTCAGTGACTAATCACGCTGTAATTTTAGTAGGGTCAGGAAAAGCACTGGGTTTAATTGGCTGCACACGCAGTGCAAGGCAGTGCCTCTACACTGCAGGGAGACATTCAGTACAGGGAGAGGAACCAGAATTAACTCCAAAGCTTTCAAGCGCGAGGTAACCCCAGTCAGGGAACACGAGCACGACAACTGCAAGGCCTCTAGGAAATCCCCTTTACCGCAGGCAAGAATGCCAGCAGGGTCCCAAGCACACTGTCATGTAACGCTTGGTTGTGAAGTAGGTTGTGGGATCCATTATCTCCATTTAGCAGCTCAGCAGCTGCACGCAGGAGATGAAGAACAGCTATTGCAGACTATGACAGGGCTGAGGCTGCAGCCTGCCCATATAATGCTAGAGGGGAAAGGGAGAATAAACTCATTTTCCTCTCTGGAGGTTTCTGCACAAACAACTGAACAGCAGCAGTACTAACTCTGTCTTCTGCCATGAGAATCAATTTTGTCCTTAAATAATCGTTAAAACTATGATTAGGTTTTCCTTCCCAAATTAAATGAGGAAAGGGAAACAAATGTTCCTATTTACTTTTAACAGTTGTTAAATCAAAAGAAAGCATTAAGCCAATTTAAAGTTGTTTCAAATACAAAAGTCGGCCTAATGAAAACATTAAAAAGACATATATTCTCATGTATAGTATAGACATATAGTGTCAAACATTTAACTGCAAGAAAGACCCGTTGAGCAGTGTGATCCTTTTCTATTTAGCAACTCCACCAATATTTTCATTTGAAATATTCTCCTAATTTCCATTCTTATGGTCTCTAAAGTTTCTGTAGGAGACTAGTCCTTCCCCCACCCACACACCATGCTGTTCATGAGCACAACAGAAAGGACATACACACTACAGGGACATTCCAGCTCTGACCGGTGGCTCTTCTGCCCAAGTCAGACTGTCAGAGGTCTGCAAATTTCCACAGGTGGGCAGCTCTCGGCCTAAATGTGGCACAGCTGGATCAGAACCAAGGCTCTGACCCCCTCCTCCCTCAGCCCTGCAGACAACACCATCATGAAAGCAATGCCTCTGACCCTCTTCTTGTTAGAGCTTCACAACTGGGTTAACACATTTCTTTTTGCAGAACATTTTCAGATCCTTGCCTTTCAATGTCTACAGCTGAAATGCTTCCATCTCTTGACGACTAACCTTACCAATTCTGGCCTTATACGCATTTTGCATATTGCAGAAAACAGAGCAACACCCTTTATGGCAGACCTCTATGCAGTCCATTGACCGAGTCCTAGCTTTGCTCTACTAATGCCAGCATTCGCTTACTCTTAAAATTTTCCAACAATCACTCTCTGACATTATCCCACGCTGCTTCCCCTTTCCTCCTCCATTGAATGAGTTTCCCATAGATATCTGCAAAACTACTTCACTGTCCTGCCCAAAATCCCTTTTTATTGACATCCCTCTGTTCTGTATCTTACAAAAACCACCTTTACAGCTGTTAGATAACCCAAATGGGGTGCTGACTGTTTATTACACCGAAACAGTGTCATCATCATTGTTACATTAGGACCTCTTAGCCTGTGTGCTTTATTTTAGCCTCCTACTTCTATGGGGACTATATTTTTATTTGGCTGTATAAGTTAGCACAACAGGAATCCAGTATATGGCTGTGGCATGAAGGCACTACTGCAATAAAAATTTTAGGCAACGCAGACAGGATTTCTCAATAACTCTATTTCTTAGCTACCATGAATTATCAGTTCCTTAAAAGCTGAAATATTGATCTAGAAGTTACTTGCAGCTGCTGCTGGCAAGCATTTTGAGCTCTCTTCTACAGAAAGGTAGGATTTTTTTTGCAGAAGGAAGGAAGGGGTGGGGGCATGTATGTGTTTGTTGTTTGGTTTTTGTGTGTAGAAGGCAAAGCCAAAAACCTGGTTATTTACTCCAGTGAGTAGATCATCACTATTCAGCACATAGCTGAAAATTTGCATGCTACTCTTGTCCTATTCCTCTTACTTGCCGGAGCACACAAAAAGTCAGCAATATTTCAGATGTCAGATGGTCACTTCTGCCCTACGGAGTTAATTCAAAAGGGGATTTTAAAAAAACAAAAGCGCAACAAAGCTCATCTCTCCTGTGTCTGAGCAAAGGACTGGATCAATATGCCCTTAAAGCTGCAGAACAAAGAAAAACCTCATTCACTTGGTTTCTGAAAGCACTTCTCCCTCAAGACATTTCATGGAGTGTTTACTTGGTGGTGCACAGTTTAAACTGAGCTTGATAATAAAAAAGGTGCTAAATTTTTTGAAAAATGTGGTCCAACTGCGAGTATTCACTTATTTCCACAATTCTAAAATTTACAACACACCTGATTTGAACTGTCAAATTCAGGGGTGAAAAGTCCCACAGAAGACACCCAAAATGAGCTATAACAGGTAAATAAAGATTTTTATAAAATACCCCCTAACGTGGTGAAAAATCAACAACCAGACATGCCCAGTGGCTTCTTGATACAGAAGGGGGAAAAGGAATTGGGGAACAAGGTAGAAAGAGATAAGAAAACTAAACAGGCAAATAAGGCTACAAAATATAATTGATAATAATAGCCCCCACACACAAAGACTTACAGCTTTTAAATAGACTTCAAAGAAACAGACTTCAATCATTACTTAGCTACCTCCACAGCTGCAGTAGGTATTTTTATCTTCTTCTCCCTCCTCAAACACACTCAGGTGTCAAATTATATTTGGCACTTCCTAAATTCATAATCCTGACACGTTTTCCAGGACTTGTTTTGTCTCATTCACTGTTTGCTAAACTACTGTTATTCAGAGATACATTTTTACTGTAATGACACCAGCACTCTTCACAATTTAAAATTTAATGAAACAAGGGATCTTCCAAACTGCTGAGGACTGGCCTGTTGCTGCTCTCAGCAAAGGCAATCATCATTTTAGCTCCAACTGTAATAACATCAGAGGTAAGTGCTCAAGAAAACATTCATTTTTATTCTAGAAACGCAAAGAAATAAGGAGGGGAAAAAAGTACCACCATAGCATTACCTATATCTAATTAATGGTAATATCTGTTTATACAGACCTTGCATCTGGTAGCTATATGGAGCCTGTCCAGGTTGAGGTGTGCTAAAGCTGGCACCGTAGCTTAGAAATCCTGTCTGTCCAGGTGACTGTGACTGTGCCAATCCACCTTCTGTCTTGATGCCTGCCCACAATGCACCTAAATCAGTTAGTGACAGCAAATCTATTTGTTCATATTCAAACAGGGAAACGGAAAATAAAATCACTTAATTAACAGCATTTGTAATGTATACCTACTATTGCCTGCATGAGAGAACAAATATCAAGAGCATGCACAAATGAACAGGGTAAGGGCACTCTAAAAGCACACGGAAAACTGAAGTTAACTAGGGAGAGGTTAAATTCAAAATTGCATTTGCAATAACTGCAAAAGACATTTATACATGAACAGGAAGTTGCATTATTCCTTTTTTCCTTTCCTGCCAGAGGCAAACTTTTCCATATATTCATGACATCACACAGAGATAGATTAGCAACTTTATATGATTTTAATGAAGCATAGCATAGCCAAGCTCTCCTGCCATCTACCCATTAACAACATAACTGAGATTTGCATTGTATAATATTCCTACATGAAAATTACACAGCTCCAAGGGCAATGGCTGTCTGAGGAATTAGAAGTGGATAAAGGGAACTAGCAGCATTAAGCATAATGATAATTTTTCTAAGCTAATTAAGCACTATAGGAGGTGTTCAGTCTTTTAACAAATAAACACCTAACAGACACGAACTACTGAAGCAATCTCCCAAACTGGGACAAACATAGCAGAGAGTCATTAATTTGCACTGACAGGGAAATCCATTACACATGACATTACTCTCTCATTTCTAAATTTAGTTATAAAAGAATCCAAAGTCCAATCAATGAATGACTTGTTGCCCAATTTCAGTGATTCTTCCTCCAATTTGTAAGGCAACAAAAGCAAGTAAACATCAGCAAGTGAAACCCTGAGGAAATGCACACAACTCAGTCTCTGTCGCTTAGTATTAATTATAAGATTGTCCCAACATGAACTGCCATTTAAAATAATTATAGCCAAAGCAATAGAATAGTGATACAATATTCTTACGTTTCACTGTGGCATTCAGTGATACCTCATTATTCAGAAACCACCAATATTTGAACTGAATTAACAAAGTGTGAATTAGTAACATTCCTTTGAAAATTACTGTTAATCTAAGTCTATTTCCTGGTTGAGTTTTTTTTAAGCAATATTCAACAAGACCTGAAGGTAGGAGAGGGCTGAGAACTTCGTCTGTTCACCAAACTTTGATATCTCCTTATATACAAATGACAGCATATTTTCTGCCATCTACATCATCATTTTTCAACTGCTGTCATTAATTAGCCTTAATTTCTTCTGCCAGACCTGCTAACTGACTGTGTTTGCTTGGTTTTCCCTGATGTTTACTTGCTGCTTCTGTTTCATGTTACAATTAAACAGTTCCAATGATGAATCTGACACCTCACTTCCAAGGGGAAACTCCTCATACAGATGTTTTGGTATCAACGATCCCTATTTGTTGTCTGTTTAATGACTTCTGAAATGCTGATTGAACATTGCTTAGAGAAAGTTTAACTAAATCAAGCACCAAATTTCTAGTCTAAATTTTCTTTAACAGACTGATTCAACTTTTCATCTCAGACCAAGTGGGAGGAGGCGATCAAAGGCAGTGGCAGGAGGATGCCACTGGGGTGAAGACAACTTGGCACTGACATGCCCTTTTGCAAACCTCCATGCTATGAAGAGCCTTTCATCTCCTGGGACTTACTCTTCCCACTTGCTCTGATCCAGAAGGCCTTCACTCATCAAATGTAGATGCACCCCTCTGCTTGCTCCCAAGTCTAATGTATTCAAGGAAGTGGGAAGGGACAGTGACAAAAATAAGGGGACCGCCAGGAACTGGAGAGCAAAAAAGTTGGTAAGCAAAGCCTTTGCTAGATGCTGGTGCCAGAGCAGGCAGGAGGAAGGAGCTTCAGGAAATTCTCCAGCCTCCTCAGGGGCTTTGCAGATGAAGCAGAGCCAGGAGCCCCTGGGCAGCAGCTGTCAATGGCATTCCCCTCCACCCCCCTTCCTGCCTGTATGGCTGCACCACTGTGGAGGTGGGGAAGTGGAAAAATGAAGAGGCTAGAGGTGCATTTAAGACAGCACCTTCCTAAACTCTGCCCTAGAGAGAAAACTTGAGGGAGGCTGATATGGGAATTCAAGAATACTACTTCCTCCAGTAAGACCCAGAGTAAAGAAATGAAAAGAAAGAGGCCCCCGCTCAATTCAGAGTTTTTCCTTTCACATACGCCATAACTACTCCCTTTTTACCTGCTAGAAGATCTCTGCCTGGATGAAAGAAAGGCAAGACAGAGGGTACATGCTGTGCAAGGTGCAGACCAAAGTGGAGAATTTTGGCTCTAAGCAAAGCTTCAGTTCTTGCCTGTTGCAAATGAGCATCCCAATGATCCCCACATAATTTAAGTTGAGAGCACAGATTATATGATGTGCCTTAAATATGCAAAAATATATATGGTTTAGGCCCCTTTTCAATATTACTCCTATAAAGTACATATGTGGGGAGCACCCAGGCACAAGGCATTGTCTGTAAAGAGCAAGATATGTAAAAATCCACTTGGCTCAGGAGCTAAGGGTTTCAGTGGGCAAAAGCAGCTCTGCAATGTAAAACATTAGGCAAAATTATCTGAAGTCCTAGGCATGGGGGATGGACTAGGCAAAAACCCAAAGCAAAACAAAAGAGCAGGCAGGCATGTTAACCCCCACAGGCAGTTGCCAACTAAAGCAACTCTCAATTACAGCTCCGACGACAGTGAGATAGCTAAACTCAAGTACTGAAATCAAGGCCTGGCTGAAGACAGTGGGAATTTTAGAGCTGACTTCAGTGAGGTCAGGATTTCATCCAGAGGAACCAAGTAAAAAACAAAAAAGTCACTGTTTGGGCTGCCCAAGCCCTGCAGCCAGCCAAGTATGAACATGAGGTGGCTGCAGAAGAAACAAGTCAAGAAAAGCACGGTGGGGAAAGGGGTCGCCTGTTATCACCCCACCTGATCCAGATGGACTCAGCAGACAAACTCTCATCAGCACAGAAGTGTGTGTGTGTGTGTGTGTGTGTGTGTGTGTGTGTGTGTGTGTGTGTAAGACTCTCCATCTCCAAAGTGTAAGTTTAAAATATGTGGATTAAAAGTGAAACATCCAATTCCTGTTTACTGCCATATATTTGGCAAAAAGTAACCAAGGCTGTAGCCACAAGAAGAATGCCTCCTTGGACCATTATTACTGATGATATATTAATGAAACACATTTTTTAAAGTAAGGGGAAATAATAATCTATTTCTTTTACCCGCTTTTATTTCACAATAATCTGCTGTAGGATATACTTGAAATCCAGTGGATTTCAACTTGCAGATCTCAGGATGAAAGATTCACCAGTTTTGCACTTAAAACTTTCAGTAATTTTAAAGGGAATTTGTATGGTGAGTTCTGCCCTTTTGGTATAAAACTTACATTATTTGAATGTAATTTTTTACAAAATATACTGCTCAAAGCATGTGGATTGTATATTTTTCAATATATTCCCCCAGAGGAATATAAGAGCTATTTTCTAATAATGCATCCTCGCTGCTGCACTGCTATGTGGTCTGCCAGCAGACAGTCTGGCAGCAAAATGGACTCACCCACAGCAGCTTGTTTTTAAATTAAATTTTTTTGGAAATATTTGCTACTTATTACTATCTCCTTCATCAGGCAGACAGAGCTTTAGTGGCAATTTACCTCAATTTTCACCTCCAGGGAGTTTTAAAACATTGGAAAGTGAAAGGTTTTTTTAGTGGGGGTCTTTTTGAATCAGTTTTTTGCCTTCTGAAAATCAGCACAGCTTCACAGACTTGTCTGGGTTCCGGTAATCTGTATCAGCTGAAATTCAGACCTTCACGTACCCATGTAACCTACTACACTGCTGGAGAGCAGAGCTCCTCAGCAAGTCCCCAGGGGCCATGCCTGTGTAATGGAAGAGCCTAGATCTCTTTTCCCATTTCAGTGCTGGTTTTTTGATATCACCACCAAAAAGCTAATGAACCTCTCCCCCTTGTCTGGGTTCCGGTAATCTGTATCAGCTGAAATTCAGACCTTCACGTACCCATGTAACCTACTACACTGCTGGAGAGCAGAGCTCCTCAGCAAGTCCCCAGGGGCCATGCCTGTGTAATGGAAGAGCCTAGATCTCTTTTCCCATTTCAGTGCTGGTTTTTTGATATCACCACCAAAAAGCTAATGAACCTCTCCCCCGATAATTTATGCTATGCTCTTTCATACATAAATTAGGCATCACACATTTTAATGTAGGGTTTCTTCCCCAAGAAAGCCTCTAGAGCACAGCTGTCCCACTAAGTACTACCACAAGGGTCACACAGTCTTGATCTAAAAACTATTTACCTCAGGAATAAAATAACACGGACGTGATTTCTTACCATATGATGGGATTCCATAGGGTTGGCCAGGCTGGGGGTAAGTGGCATAAGCTGTAGCCTGTTGCATTCCTGTTGCAAACTGTGTCTGCCCATACGCAGCCATCGTTTGTGAAGAGGGGGTAGGAAGAATATGGGGGTATGGTCTGCTATTGATTACAAATGACAGAAAATAGGACAGACACTGCATTAGACAGACATGTGTGTACTTATTTTTAGCCTTATTATAATCCTGCTACTTCATTAACACATGATCATAGGCTATGCTAGACCACAGAAACTGTAAGACAGAGACAAAACAACAATAAGAAATCAATAATAAAAGAATAAGTAAAATAAGAACTTTACAAATATTTTTCAAATACATTCTTAACATTTTTAAAAAAATATTTTTTTTCCCTAGAAGCTGCTGCGGTTTAAATTCTGGCTTAACAGATGGACGCAATTATTATTTTAAATGAGGTTAAAATATGCCTATTTCAGTTATTACTACTACTATTATTATTTTAAAAAGATATCATACTTGGAAGGGTAAATCTGTGGTGGGGAGAACTGGTGTGTTTGTCTTGGGCTGAAACCACTGCTTCCAATTGCTGCACCAAGGAGAAAAGAAAGCACACAGAAGTGTAAATACACACACCAAAGATAAATATTATTTTTCCTAATAGGATTTCAGAGTATTAACAAGATTTTAATTAAATTCAAATATAATTGATACTTCAGATAGAAAATAATATTTCATCAGGAACTATACAAGAATGCATAACATTAAAATCTTGATTGCAAATCTCAAATACTAAATTGCCCCTTTGTACAACTCCCGAGCAATAATTTATTCTTTGGTTGCACACAGACAACATTTTCAATGCAAACAACCTATTTCCTAATGGAAACATTTCCCGTCATATTTTCAAAGAATTGTTGATATCTCAAGTGCAACATTTTATTAACTTTTAGAATTTTTAAGACCTACATTTTATGAAGGAGCTTTATGCGTGCCTCGATTGAAAACATCTGGCCAGCTTCAGAGCACGTGCCTCTTTCTTTAAAAAAAATAAATTCCTAAATACAGACTAGGTATTGCCATATTACACTTCCTTCCATTTTCCTCCATCTTATCTGCTTTCTAAAATGCTTTCAGACCTTCAAATCAATCAGTGCTGCATAAAGATGTCCTATGTGCAGATGTTGTTAGGGAAACCCTTATGCTGAGGAGGCTACACAGTGAACTGCTCCCCGGCAGCCCCACGATGCTGACACACCAACCCATCCCCATTTCTGTCCGTATTTTTGGGTGCTGCCGAGAGCATGGCGGGTGTGCTGGTGTACTCTGCTCCGGGTGTTATTTTTGGGAGCCCTTCCCTCTCCGGTTACTGTTTGGGTGTCACTTCTTCTCTAGGTCCCAAGGTGGGTTCAGAAGCATTTGCCAGGAAGGGGTCAGTGGCAGGTTATGAGACTACTGTAAAATCAGACAGCCAGAGAAACAACAGGCCCTATTGCTAAGTACCTGGAAATAAACAAGGCACACATAATTACCCTTCGCCAGATACCCCTTTCCTGGCCAGCTACAGGGAAAATCCATCATCTTTACACTCCAGGAGTGCTCTCAAAGCATGGAAGGAAGGAGGGAACCTCTTTCCGTGCCTTTCACACCTGACAGTTTTTCTTTTCTGTGGCCTGTGAGGCTGCAGAGGCATCAAATGTGAGGGCTAGAACTTTAGTCAAATCACCACAGACATACATAGCTGCTATTAAACACACTGTCTTTTCTTCTTTCAGAGAATTAAAATACTCTAGAAATGGTTTTTCAGGCTTTCAGGTTTGATTCTTTCATACTCAACAACCTGTGCAGAAAATGGGGGTGTGACAAGAACAGGAAAGGGCTGGATACTTGGAGCCTAATTGGTTGCAAGATGTCAAATTTTGCTACTAAGGAAATACGATCCCACAATACAGTATTAGATCCTACTTTTTATTTGATTTGCACCATAAAAATGATGTACTAGAAATACCATAGTTAGTCCACAGGCATGCAAAATTGTGCAAAGAAGTTAAGTTGTTCTCACAGTGTTTGTCTCCTGTATGTCAGAAGCCAAGAGGTCTTTGGCTTCTAAGAAAAAAAGAGGACTGACAAAAGAATGAATACCTTGGTAATAATAAATTGCAATAAATGAAGAAGACCTACCTCTCAATTACAACACTAATCACAGTGGCACATATGTTTACTCTCAGAAAACAAAGAATAATTACTCTGCGCCAGAATACTCCCTAGTGAGACTCCCACTGAAGACACCAATGGACATTAATAAGTCTGATACTGTAATGCTCCTTACTCAGGGAAAACTCCTGCTGACTTACACTAAGATGAACAGAAATAAGCATAAGCTGCAAAGTGCACAAGGCTTTTTAACAAATGTGCATGGGTTTAGACCAGGTGGGATAAGAAAATAGTAAATGAAAAAATGCTGAGCTTAAAAACCTTTGTTTATTCCTTACCTGATCCTGAGAAATTGTCTAAAGAGCCGTCTGTGGTAGTAGTAGTAGCAATCTCACTGCTGTTCATTGGTTCTGTTTTAACTATAGAAATATAAACAAAATATATTCTATATGCACCTAATATTCTTGCATGCGCATGCACACACACTCACTACAGACACAAATTCAACAAAACAAAAATCTGCCAAAACGGTTTTAAATCATGGCTATCGATATTTTGCATTTTATGTATTTGTGTATACAAACAATGCAAAGTACTGGCAGCTATGATTTACACATACATATAAGATGATCAAGAGAGTTATTTCTGTCCCCAAGGAATAAGAGCCACTGTAATAAACCAGAAGTCCCCATGCAACTCTCTGCACCTGTCCTGATTCCTCTTAATCCTGCAGACCCAACAATAAGGGTCCACATTTAGATCAGGTCACACAGACATTTACATGCTTGAAAGACAGCAAATTGAGTAAGACAAAAAAGGAAAGAATTTTCAAATGGGTTTCACTGAGGGCTGTTCAAATTCTGTTTCCATTCAAATAAATTTTCAGAGGAAAATTGAGAATTTGTGATGAAGTAAAACACTTGCTTTGTGGTGGATTTCTCCTCTCAAAATGAAAACCAACTTTATAGTCAACAACCCTGAATAAACAAAGGGGATACAGTCCTCATCAGATACTTCAAGGAATGCTTTTACATTTCATTCACTCTGCACCCGCAACCCAACACAGTTGTCAGAGAGTGAAAAAGAATGAGACTAAGAGAGATTATCTTCTGGCCCATGCTGATTCATGATTAATAATTAATTAATGACTTTTAATAAAGCATCAAGTAAATAAACAATTTCCTTTCTGCTACTCCAGCATAAACTCTGTAATGACAGTATCCTGATCCACAGAGCAAGGATGGTGATGACCTGGCAGGGATGCAAACAGGGACAATGCTTACTCCCAGGTAATTAGCAGATCAGCACGGCAATCTCTCAAACCTGTTTTTGCACATTTAGCTTTTGGAGTTACAGCACACCAAAAGCAACTGAGGACAATGTTTCAGAAAACAACAGAGCTGATCTTACTATCACAACATCCCCCCGTTTTGCTCTTGTTGACACACATAGACATCACTTCCCACGCGCCAGCACTGGTGCATACCTGACCTTTCAGTGAGGCAGGTCTGTAACACTGCAGAAAGCAAATCTGAGAAAACCAAGGTAAACTACACCCCATTTGACATGTAAAGCCTTAGTGTCATCTTGATACAGATCAAGATGACATGTATGGATGTATGTTTGTCTATACATATGTATTGAGGAATTGCAGTCACCACTAACAGAAACATTATGATACCAGGTTTGGAAAGAGTAAAGCAGAGGAAGAGCCCTTCCCTCTTTTGACAAAAGACCTTTTATTTATATGCCAGTCCAAATTCTTATTTCTGTATGTCTATTTCCCTCTCATCCACAGGATTTGTAAGCAATCTCTCAAGATTTTACTAATTGCCCATTACTTTCTTTTGACTATCAGACAGGATGTTTTGTCTGCTAACTCAGGACACAGATGCAGCAAAATATTTAGTGCAAAGTGATAGTCACAAGCAATTTTTCAGAAACTACCAGATTTTTACAGCATGTTCTACAGTTTGTCAATCTAGATATGAAGAATTATAGCATCTACATTATCTTCTTCTTTTTCTTAAGAAGTTATTTCAGCTATATTTTCCAGTCAGACTAACACTTCTCTCATGGACTACTCCAACTTTCAAAAAAAATTTCAAGTCTTCTGAATCTGATTTTCCATAATGCAATTATACTTTTGGAAATAAAAATGAAAGGTGCTTTCTTCTATAGCTGAGAGTTGTGGTGGTGAAAACGAAAGGAAGACAAGACAGATCGACCTAACTTGGGGTAAAGGGTGGAATATTTCAGTATATGCTTTCTCCAAACTCTTCCTCTTGTCTACTGGAGAAACAATTTCCATATTCCTCATTTTTGGATCACTGCAAATTAGCAGTCCAAGGACTACACTGAACCGCCTCGCACAATATAGGGAAATATAGCATCAGTTGTTCTAGATAAAAAGCAGCCCTGCCAAGAAGGACTTGGGGGTGCTGGTGGATGAAAGGTTGGAGGTTGCAGCAAAAGCAGCATGGCCAGCAGGTCAAGGGAGATGATTCTGCCCCTCTACTCCTCTTTGGTGAGACTCCACATAGAGTATGGCATCCAACTCTGGGGTCCTTAGCATAGAAAGGACATTGAACTATTGTTGGAGCAAGTCCAGAGGAGGCCACCAAGAAAGATGATTAGAGGACTGGAGCACCTCTCCTACAAGGAAAGGCTGAAAGAATCGGGATTGTTCAGCCTGGAAAGGAGAAGGCTTTCGGGTGACTTAATTGTAGCCTTCCTACCTGAAGGAAGCCTACAAGAAAGATTGAGAGGGACTTTTTACAAGGGCATGCAGTGACAGAACAAGGGGAAAAGGCTTCAAATTGGCAGAGAGCAGGTTTAGATAAGATATTTGGAAGAAATTCTTTCCTGTAAGGGTGGTGAGGCACTGGAACAGGTTGCCCAGAGAAGCTGTGGATGATCCATTCCTGGAAGTGTTCAAGGTCAGGCTGGATGGAGTTCTGAGCAACCTGATCTAGTGAAAGGTTTCCCTGCTTATGGCAGTGCGGTTGGAACTAGATTCTTCAAGGTCCCTTCCAACTCAAACCCCTCTATGATTCTGTGATACTTTCTAAGTGGATGCAAATGCTTCTCTTGCCCTTGATTTAAGAGCCTATGTCATGGGTCTTTGCACTTATCTGGATCCTTGTTTAAGATACCATATTTTGAAAAAACCTCATCAAAAAGCAATTTCTGTCTCCATTCCTCATGAGCAATACTACAGTGCAACATAGTTTGCAAGTGAATGCTGTTTACTAGACATACTACTTTCAAAGACACAGGAAAACATACGAAATACAGTGTAGTGCCTTCTTCGTGGAAATGAATTCTAGTTGCTGACTGAGGTGCCCACAGATTTTTCATAGAAACTGGTCCTTATGTCTCCTCTCTCAGCTATTGCATCTCCAGAATACACTAAAAAGAGGATATAAGAAAGAATGTTCACATTATTCGCGATCTGGATACCCATTACTTGGGTGGTAATAAATATGCCCTACCATGCCAACTTTAGGAACAACCACAACCTTAATGAACCTTTGCGCCACAGTTAGTTGGGAATTTATTAAGGATGGATAGGGACAGAAGAGCTCTCGATTCCCCAAGCATTTTAATTGAAATGCCTGAAAACTACTGCATATCTCCTTCTATTAGTCTAAGCACATTTCAAGAGGATGAAAGCTTGCTGTACAAAGAAATTAACTGAGAAGAACAGCCATGGGTTTACCTGTTGGAAATGTTTACCCTACACATTCTTACAGCAAAGGAAGGCCTTTCATTTGTCCATGACAAGAACTGACCTGCAATAAAGCATATTTTGCCCCAGAATGACGGGGAAGGAGAGCTGCAAATGGCTTGCCTAAGGTTACAAGTCTCACAGGCTATCCCAGTAGCACATCAGTAATCCATTTCTATCATGAAACACATATGGAGCTGTCCAAGGAACCCAGGCTTTGGACAGGCAAGGATCTGGCCCTGCCACATGCTGCTTAAGCATGCTCTGGATTTCAGCTCTTCACATTTTCCATGACAATTAACATTTCTGCAACGAGTCCTAAGCCTTCACAAGATGACACTGAGAAATGAGTGAAAATATTGCCACATCTACACGGAACACATTGCAAACTTGCCAGTAACTGCCAACAACGTGCTCAGTTGTGGCAGAAACCATGTAAAGTGAAACAGGAGAGTTCCCATTTCTGCTGCTTTTTTATCAAAACTGACCTTTACAGAAATGCAGAATCATCAGACCTTCATTCTAAAGACAGACTGATTTAGCAATGTACTACTAAGTTTTAGTGCCAGCAAAATCACTCATGTTATAAAACAGACTATCAATAGAAGTTCAAGAACACATCTAACACAATCCTAATCTGCTGCAAAAATTCAATGTCTGTTTAGAATTACTGTTATAGGTTTGGCTTATATACCAAGAAATTCAAGAAGCTATGTCAACAGGGAGATATTTTTGCTCCTTATTTAACAGAATAGAAAAAAAACAGAAAAGAAGTTTCAACAAAGTGAGTCAGTTTGTTTATAGACATACATAAACACATAATCTCTAGCCCTATTTTGGTTTGTCTCAAGGTGACTTCTTCAAATAATATTAGTAGCTAAACATCAGGTAAATACTTATGTATGCATTGCTATTCACACACTGGTTTGTATGATACCATTCTCTTTCTGTACCCACTAGAAGCCCAAAGCTCACCTGAAAGTTTAAAGATAATTGGTACTAACAAGACAAAAATTCTAACTTTAATATCTAAGCTGATGATATTTTCCACTATTTTAACTCTCCTCTGTTTGTAGTGAAGAATCTTGCAATTATAAACAGGCTACTAAATGTTACAAGTTACTTATAAATAGGCTACTCAATTATACTAATTTCTTTCCAGGACATTATTCTCTTTTTATCACAGATTATCAAATCATCAGTTCCTGACCATGAAGCCTGATAAACTTACTTGTTCCTGCTTCTCAAAGCAGAGAATTCTTCCTGAATCTCATTGTCTGGAAACTACCAGAAGGTAATTTCCAACCTAAATTTATGTTGTTTTCAAAGAAAGTCCCTGCTCAAAGCAGCACATTCTAGTTCAAGCCCAGACTGTTTTCTGCTCTCCCTTTCTCTGATGTGAGAAGGCTTCAAAACCTCTGCAGTATTTGGGCTGTGACTAATACCAAGTTTTCATTGCGTGCACCCCCATGAACCTCATCCTCCTCTTATGTTATGCATTACAGCTGAAAGAGCTTTAATGTCATTGTATCTGCTCATCTGGCAATAAAAACTTAAATTTACAGAAAATTCAAAGAAAGAAAATTCAAAACAATCTGGCTGGAGACGAGGTTTGATAGTATCAAGATTCAGCCTGGGTATTCATCAGACAAGTACAGTCATGGACTAAAATAGTCTCTTTCACTGCAG